ATTTGTCCTTGTTCCTGTCACCATGGAACTTCTATTTCGAAAGATAAGAGATTTTTTATACTAAATTATCTATTGGGGAGATAATTATTATTTCATTATTACGATAAGTTTCATTTAAAGTGTTATGTGATAGAGATATAAATTGATTGTGTTTTATATCTTATATTCAAAAAATATCAATCTTTAAGTTTAAACTCTCCCTTTGATTTTACTTCTAAAGAAAAAGAACATGCTCTAAATTGTTTGGAAATTAATTATAAATTAATTCATTATTATAAAAGAGGAATTTAAGTATTTAATATAAATGTAATTTGTTTTTATATGAAAATATCACACCTTATATATATGTGTTGCCATTCAATAAATTAATAGTACCAGCATATCTAATTAATTAATAAAGCTGCATCTTTATCCATGTGCTCCAATGCCAACAAAATTTTAAATTCCAACGTAATAATTGAAAAAAAAAAAAAAAAGGGCTTGGAGTAGGTCGGTTAATTCTAACTTTTGTCTTTTTCCGTCATTTTGGTTCAAATTAATATCTTACTCAATAATTAATTACCTAAAATTGGTAGATGAGTTAGTTCCTTTGTTCTCTTTTAATTCACTTTATATTTATAATTTCCTTTTTTTTTGGAATTTCTATTTTTAATTAATAAGGTTTTTTTATGGAACCCAATAATTATTTTACCTACTCCCACCTTCTCTTTATTTAGTCTCTGCGTTACTTTTAATATTTATTATTTACTTAAAATAAGTAAATTGTTATATTTATTGACATATAAGTTATAACTCTTTCACCTAATATTAGTAAAATTATTCATCATTTTGTTATTTACGAGAGTTATGTGTTTAGTTTTAATTTTTTGAATAGGAACGTTTATTTTATTAATCCACAAGTATTTCTTATTCTTATTCTTTCCCAAACTTGATACTTGTACATTTTTCTAAGTGACTATGTTGAATGTACCTAACATTAAATTGTCTCATAAATTAATTTATTAAAAATTAATTATAGAGTGTTATCTCATAAATATGTATACACAAAAAATTTATAAATTTTTTAAAATAAATATTTTTAAGCATTATAAATATTTATTTTTTATAATATTTAATTTTTAAATTTATTTATTAACAAGACAATAACATTTGATTCAATAATATTATATAATAGTTATATTTATATCTCAACAAACATCATATACAAGCCCATGCTTTAAACAAAACTTGCTTTGCAACAAAACATTAGAATAACCTGACTCCATCTTTCCTTAATGTCAATATTGAAAATAGAGATGGAAAAATGTAAAGTACTTTTTAAACTAAACGGGTCCTAAACTAATTTGAAGCAATTTTTTTTTCTCTTATACACATAGACATAATATTTGACAATAATACTAATATGTACTTTATTTGATAAGAAATGGTAACTAAATTTTGAGATGATAAGGGGTAGAAAAAGGAGTTGGATAAATATATAATTCAACTATAATAAGTAGCTTAATGTAGAAACAAAAATTAGGCAAAAGATGGGTAAGTAGCCGAAAATCTATAGTTAGGACCAATCAATTAATATTTGGACCGCACTACATATGTTCAATTCTCGGAAATAGGATTATGTTCTTCGGTAACATGATGTTGAAGAATATCGTTTTTATGAGTTACTTGCCAATTAAACTTTTGTCCCCTCTTCTGTTTGACTTTAAGTTAACGTGTAGCTATGGGCCACGAAGCCTACCTCCCAGGCCTGTAAGCCTCATTTGTTTCAGGCTAGACTTGGGCTCTGTGTTGTAACGATAAACAGAATATAAAACTTTGACATATGTTGAACTGATTATTGATTAATTAATAACATAAAGTTTCAATTTAGGTTGCTCTTTGTTTCGTTATCAAAAAAAAAAAAATCATATCACATCAAACTAATGTGAAGCAAAAAGTTTGTAAAAAAGAAAAAATATAAAATAAAAGAAAGTTGTGGCAAATATTTTATAACTTGTAAGCAATAATACAAACAAAAACATATTAATTATGGATATAATATTTAAGAAAACTCCTAAACTATTTTAAAAGATTCAAATAAGTTTTTATATTGTTATTAAGTTTAATTAAATCTTTATATTTTTATTTATTATTTTATACTACATAGTATTAACATGATATGCTAACATGTAATAATTAATAATAATGTGATATATTGATATATCAAAATTGATGATAACAAGATATGTTAATATAATATAATAACATAATTATGTAATATTTTTATTATCCATATCAATGTCATGCGGATATAAAATTACAAGTGATATTTTAATTAATAAAAATTTATTAATCATTAATTATGAGAATTTATTTAATTTAAAATAAAAGTAAATAGACTTGATTAAAAAAATAAAAGAATAAAAATTTATTTAAATTTTTTTGAATAATTTAAGAATTTTTTTTAGTATTATGCCTTAATTATGTTAAGATCGATACATGTAAGTATTGATGATGATGTGATATATTGATATATTATAATATATATAGACAATCGTCTTAAAGCTACCACCTTAAGCTCTAATTAATTTTAAATTGCATATTTTCGCTGCTTGATCTTGTTTTGTAAGTGTTAATACTTAAATCGAGTTGAATTAAATTGGTACTCAAATAAAATGCAATAATTTTAGTAATTTTTCAAATTATAATTATTTTTAATTTTGAAAATTCATTTTTATTAAAAAATATATATTTATTAAAATTGAAGTTAAATAAATAAAGAGATTATAATTAAAAAGTTTTTCTTTTATTATTTCTTACATGTGAGGATGTTTAAGAAGAGGGTATTAAAATTTATATAGAATTGAAAAAATGTATTCATTGTTGGCATTCTTTTTTATCCTTCAATATACTTTTAAATTAATTAATTAAATAACAAAAGTAAAATTAGGAGGATAGATTTGAACAAAGTAAATTCACAGGGGCCTAATCGTGGAATAACAACGTTTCAAGATTAAAAAAAAAAGAGAAAATTCAAGCAAGTATTTTATAAAACTGATATGAACAAGGCAACTTTAAAATTATTAAGCATGTTATGACCGATACATGTAAGTAATAATTTAAAACCATAGTCTAAACTTTAATAAAATCTAAAATGATGTATTTTTACTGTTTGATTTTATTTTATAAATTTTAGAATTTATATCGAGTTGAGTTAGATTAATATTTAAATCAATACAAAAATTATTGTCATTTTTAAAACTTTGATTAGACAATCTATTTATTAAAAAGTTTATGTATTTTTAATTTAAAATTTAAATTAAAAAAAAGAAAATATTAATATTTAAAAAATTATTTTATTATTTATTATACCTGAAGATATTTAAGAAAAAAAGACCATTCAAATTTTATATAGGCTTCAAAAAAACGTAATCATTGCTTCGCAAAGCCTAAATTGCTAGCATTTATTATCGTTTAACATACTTTAAATTAATTAATTAAAGAAAATAAAGTAAAATTAGGAGGATAAATTGCCTAATCGTGTAATTAAAGATGTTTAAAGGCTAATTTAAAAGTTCAAAAAAAAAACTGAGTCAAAATTCACGTAATATTTCCTCATAATTTCTGTTTTCGATTTCGCACGTCAATAGAATACTGATTTCTAGACATGTTAACCATTATCATCCAACAATACCCTTTCGATGAAGTGGAAATACAAGTAGAAAAGAAAGCCACTTGGTCCAAAGACAGAAGCTTGTCGTCGTGTTATGAGTTAAAAGCGTCACTTGTATCATGTGAATCCTCACCTTTATTTTAACTTTTAATTTTCCAACTTCGAATTAACGGTCTCTCAATCTTTCAGGTTATTATATTGGTATATCGACGTGGAAAAATAATTAAATTTTCTCAACCATTATGATCCATGCTAGCTTAGGTTTCCAACCTATCGATAATTAAAGGAAAAATTGTCGTCTCAAAGATATGAACCCTTGTAAATATACATAGGAACATGAATAATTGAAGCTAATGACTCAAATGTATTGAACAGAACAGTGGGAAAGGTTAGCCTTGGTTATTTGTGATAGGATAAGTATGAAAAACTAATATTATTCCTTGTTCATGTCACCATGGAACTTCTGTTTAGAAGGATAAGGGATTTTTGATACTAAATTATGTATTAGGGAGATGATTATTATTTTATTGTTCGGACAAAGTTTATTTAAAGAATCATATATGATGAAGATATAAACTGATTATATTCTATATCTTATATTCAAAAATGTTAATCTTTAAGTTTATATTCTTCCTTTGATTTTACTTCTGAAAAAAAGTACATGCTTTAAATTGTCTTGAAATTAATTCATTATTATAAAAGAGGAATTCAACTTGATATAAATGTAACTTGTTTTTATATGAAAATATCACACTTAATATATATATATATATATATATCTTGCTATCCAATAAATTAATGGTTCCAGACATATCTAATTAATTAATAAAGGTGCATCTTTATCCATGTGCTCCAATACCAACAAAATTTAAATTCCAACTTAATAATTGGAAAAAAAATAGGCTTGGTGTAGGTCGGTTAATTCAAACTTTTGCTTTTTTCCTTCATTTTGGTTCTAATTAATATCTTACTCAATAATTAATTACCTCAAAGTCATGAAAAAATTTGATTTTCTAAATTTTCAAAGTTGAAAGCTTTCGAACGATGAAATCCGCAGCCATGGGAGAGTTAATTAAGGTCATGAAAAGAGGTGGTAAAAAGCAAGGGAAAGAGCGTTGGTGGCCTGTGAAACACATAAATAACGGTGAGGTGAAAGGGGGGTGCAACTGTGAGGTGTACATTATTAATCCACAGGCTCCTTCTCCCTTCTCTCTCTCTTCCTGCCATCGATCCCAAGGTCAAAGCCAGCCCTTACAGGCAAACCCTGATCCCTGACCCACTACATAAGACACAACTCACCACCTCACCCTCCCCAAAGCTTTCATTTCATAAAAAACCATCTCTTTCCCTTGATGGTACCCCATGCGTTTCTGCCCTTCAAATATCAAATACCCCACTTCATATTCACTCTTGTCTTATTATCTGTTTCTCTCTGATTCCCATCAGCTTAATTGTTCTCAAGGACGTAGACTAGAGTAAATCTTAAACTTGTAAACTTCACCTCCTTGTTAAGATAGATGCCTGACCATTAGGTCAAAAGCTCGTTATTGGCACGATGTAAATTTTGTTTGTCGAATAGTCTTTTATGTTGTCATGGTGTATATATGCTACATGTTTCAATGGTGATTTTGTTTATCATTCCTAATTCTGCAAGAAATTTTTATTTACTTGCTGTAACTTAACAAGGATTTGTTACTGTTTCAGGTGCATGGAGAATCTATGTGAGGATTTTTTTTACTAAGGGTTTGTCTCTACTCGGATTGACCTGACTTAGGGTTATTGATTAAAATCATCACTGTATATATCATAGCAATGGAGAAAGAAGAAAACTACTCGGTACTCAGAGCTCATAATCTTATCCCCTTCACTTTTTCCATATCTTTTCGTTAAAAAAAAAAAAAAGAAATCTTTTCATCACCATGTTATTCTGCTACAAACTTGATTTCTTTCAGGCAAATTTTACCGGGCTAGATTATTCTTTAGACCATCACAGTCATGACCATCATCATCATCATCATCATCAAGACCAGCTAATGAAGCAGCCACGGATTGGTGAAACTTCTGGTGATAACAACGGAATGATTGATTATATGCTGAATAATCCTCAACAACAGCAACAGATATCTTCATCTGGGTTTTGCAGTAGTACCCCAACGTCTTATGATAAACTGAGCTTCGCTGATGTTATGCAGTTTGCAGATTTTGGTCCCAAATTAGCGTTAAACCAAACAAGGATCCCTGAAGAAGAAACTGGGATTGACCCGGCTGGTTACTTTCTCAGGTTTCCAGTTTTAAACGACAGGTTAGAGGATCAGTCGTTGATGGTTCCTCCATCTGGGATTGAGAATGTGGAGAATAGAGCTGCAGGAATATTAGTGGAAGAAAAGGGGAATAGAGAAGATGAAGAAGCTAGGGTTTCAGATAATGCATCAGTGCAACTTCGTTTTCTTGGAGAAGATCATGTTCAAAACAAAAACCCAACAACTGAAGCTAAGAACAAGAGAAAGAGACCAAGAACTATCAAAACAAGTGAAGAAGTTGAGAGCCAGCGGATGACCCACATAGCTGTTGAAAGAAATCGAAGGAAGCAAATGAATGAGCATCTTCGAGTCTTGAGGTCCCTCATGCCAGGCTCGTACGTTCAAAGGGTATTCTGAAAATGATTAATCAAGATTAATCGATCTCTTCTTTTTTCTTCTTTGTTTGTTCTAAAAGACAGATTTATTCTGGTTTCTGCAGGGAGATCAAGCCTCAATTATTGGTGGAGCCATAGAATTTGTGAGAGAATTAGAGCAACTTCTTCAATGCCTGGAATCTCAGAAACGAAGAAGATTGTATGGAGAAGCTTCATCACGGCCAATGGGAGATACCTCCATGGCAATTCAACAGCAACAACAACCGTTCTTTCCAGCTCCTATGTCTCTCCCGAATGATCAAATCAAGCTTGTGGACTTCGACACCGGACTCCGAGAAGAAACAGCTGAAAACAAATCTTGCTTGGCAGATGTTGAAGTCAAGCTTTTAGGGTTTGATGCTATGATTAAGATCCTGTCTAGGAGAAGGCCAGGCCAACTCATTAAAACCATAGCTGCTCTTGAAGATTTGCAGCTTAATATCCTTCACACCAACATCACCACCATTGAGCAAACAGTTCTATATTCATTTAATGTTAAGGTATGCAAATATTTTTCTTCTTCTAATTCTTTCAATAATCTTTCTTTTTCACCATAAATTCCTTTACTCCTATGCTATGACAACATGAATAGAGAAACAAAGACTTGCTAGGATTCCATAGTTATATATCTTTTCTAAAACTCTGCCTGTATATGCAGGTTGCAAGTGAAGCTAGGTTCAGCGCAGAAGATATTGCGAGCTCGGTTCAACAAATATTCACTTTCATTCAAGCAAACGGCAGCATGTAATGTAATGGGGAATCCAGGTTGAGGGAAAATATTGAGCTGCCTTGTCCAGTCGAAGATACCCACATTTGGCTCTTTCCAATAACCTTTTTCAATGGATATTTTGAATTTGTCATGGAAACATATAATAGTGGTAGTGTCAGTGAGCCCAGATGCACTCTCTGTGATCAGCAAACTTTCTCCATATACTTGTATTTGATATTTTTCCCTGTAAGAGTAAAACTTCTCTCTAAGTGTTTTTATTTGAAGATTGATGTTTTAACTTCTCTCTTTCATTTCCCATTCTTGTTCTTATTCGTGAAATTTACTGAAGCAATGTAGCTTCGTTAGACTTGGAAATAACTTTGGGTCATTTGAAACATTATCCTTTTGATTTTGATGGTGCATCTCTCTCTCTCTCTCTCTCTCTATTTCTTCTTTCTTACTAATTTTGGGGCTGAGGAAGGTGATGTAGAAGAGGGAAGAAAAGAAAGCAAAATGGGGAGACAGGGTTCTGCAAAGGTACCCGTTCGAAATTGAAATGATTGGCAATATTGTGTACATATGATTAAGAGGAAGAGGTGGGAAGTCAACGAAAGGTCCCGTACCTCCTTGCATGGCCGTGGGTTGACTCGTCAGAAATCAAGATTTTGTAGTATTAGGCTACACTCGGACGTTGCCAACTCTATTTGGGGCCCCCGACTTTTGTCATTTTGGATCAAATCTGGTTTTGGGGAAGGCTCAATTCATCAATACACGCCTCCCTGGCCTCCGCCACGTCCTTCGCTTTCTGTTTTTTGGGTTTGGCCATGCTTTGCCTCGTCTTTAATATTTGTCCTTGCCGCATCATTTGTATGTAGAACAGTAGAAGCTTTCAGCGTGTGGGGTTTCTGTGCTTAATTAATTTCTTCCTCGCTCGACACATCAGAAATCAATGCAATTGAAAGTCAGCTTGACTCGACAGACTATATATACATAGAACTATAAACTTCTTGCTACAACATACGGCTCTAGTATATGTGATAGTGACATTTTTACCACATCTTCCCTCATAAGTTACATAGTATGTATCAAACTTCTTCAATCTGATTCGATATTTGATAAGTCAAACCACATTTAAACAGGTTTTGTAATTGTTGGATTGATATTTGATCTGATGTTAAGTTTATAACTAATCTTGGTTTTTCAGTTAATATTGTTTTAAATTATGATGGTAAGAAAAAATTAGAAGCATATGGAAAATCTAAAAATTAAATTAAAAAATATATATTCCCTAGAAATGAAACTCAGCACCAGGCTTAACCTTGGGAATGCTTAACTTGAAGGTAAAAAATAAATTTTTTCATATGTTTTTAATAAATTTTGATAGTAATATATGATTATTGAAATCAAAAGACTACATCTGCCTTATAATATGCAATAAGATTTTCAGAAAAAAAGAAGAAGAAGAATTAGTTTGTTGGGCTGGAACTCGGGCTACAAATTAGGCCCAAGCACATGAAAAGCCCATTTGGAACAAAGCATTGTATCAAGATTCTCGACCCAAAAGGCCATAATCACCAAAACCGAAATCCACACAAGAAGTCCACAAGTAAGAACCAATTATAAAGCCTAACCCCACAAAACCCTAGCGTCTCTTTTCATTTTCTATCAGAAGCAGCAGCAGCAGCAGCAGCAGCTGTCCTAAGCTTCCAGGTAAAGAAGAGAGAATAAATAAAACATGGTTTCAGGGTCAGGGATCTGCGCCAAGAAGGTGGTGGTGGATGCAAGGCACCACATGCTAGGAAGGCTTGCCTCCATATTGGCCAAGGAGTTGCTGAATGGGCAAAAAGTTGTGGTGGTGAGATGCGAAGAGATATGCATGTCGGGTGGATTGGTGAGGCAGAAGATGAAGTACATGAGGTTCTTGAGGAAGCGTATGAACACTAAGCCTTCTCATGGCCCCATCCACTTTCGTGCTCCTGCTAAGATCCTCTGGCGTACCATTCGTGGGTATGTTTTTAAGGTCGTTTTTTGTTGTTCTATTGGGGGAAGGGGTGTTTGAGGGTTTCTGCGGTGGTGTGAAGGAAATGAATGATTTTTTATTTTGGGTTCCTCATTTTGGGTTTTTGATGCTTGGTAGTTGGGATGAGTTTATGGTGAATATTTTGATGGAATTTTTTTGTTTCTTTTAAGTTCTATTATTTGGTTATTGGAAATGATATAAAGAAAAGGAATGAAATTTGTGGGTTTCTGATGATTGGTATTAGAGTTGGTAAATGGGAAAAGTTTACTTTGAAGTTCTAGGATGGATTTTCTGTTTTCTCATTGTTGGTTATTTGGAAAATGTAGGAAACAAATGAAATGTTATGAGTGTGCTTTAGGTCATTATTGCTGAATATATGGAATACTGATCGGGAAGGTTTATTTATGTTCATAAGGAAGGCTGTTTAGCTTAATTATGAAGAATAAACTCTTGCATTGTCCATTTTGAACTATGCACTTTGCTTCGTTATGAATTGTGGTGTATTTGGATTGATGATTATTGATATATTTGTTAATATTTGTTTTCATTGCAGGATGATTCCTCACAAGACTAAGCGTGGTGCAGCAGCTCTTGCTCGATTGAAGGCTTATGAGGGAATTCCAGCTCCTTACGATAAGATGAAGAGGATGGTGATTCCTGATGCTCTCAAGTGAGTTTTGCAGTGGTCGATTTCTTTTGGGGAATTTAGCATTGGATTCACTTGCTTCAATGACTAGTTGTGCTCAATGTTTTTATTTTTCGTTTGGTTTTTAAATTAGGGTTTTGAGGCTTCAGAAAGGACATAAGTACTGCTTGCTGGGCAAGCTCTCATCTGAGGTTGGATGGAACCACTATGACACTATCAAGGTGAAGATTGGTTATCCTGCTCAATTATTTAAATACAGTTTATGTTTCAATGCTTTTTGCCTGACTTTTTACTTGGGAATTGGGGTTTATTGTATAGATTTCTGATGTTTGTTCCTCTATACTTTCTCTACCTATAAAGGCCTTGAATATTGATGTTGGCTTGTGTTCCTTTAAAGTTTATAAGTGGCTTGACTGTTCTGTCTGCCTATTATGATGTGGTTTATTACATTATCATTCTTTTATTGCCTTTTTTTTTAAGCTTGGATGAAAAAGTCTTAATTTGTATGTGGGATATTAAGCAGTTTTTTTTTATCTTTCTGACTACATACCACAATCTAAACCTTGGAATAACATCTTTTAACTTTCTGTTGCCTTATACTTCCCTCCAGGAGCTTGAGAGGAAGAGGAAGGAGAGAGCTCAAGTGGCATATGAGAGAAGGAAGCAACTCAATAAGCTTAGGGTTAAAGCTGAGAAGGCTGCTGAGGAGAAGCTTGGTGCCCAGTTGGCTGTTATTGCTCCCATCAAATATTGATCATAGACAAAGTTGAAAACATTCTGGTTAAGTTTAATGCATTTTGATAGTGTCTTTTGAGTGGCTCATAATTTTATTTTCGTAATCTTTTCAAGTAGATGTTAAGCGATATGTATTTGTACGGTACTCGGTTTTTTTCTTCTCGAAATTTGCTTGAGAAACATTTCCTTTGGCTATTTAGTGGACACCCATTTCTGGTTGGTCATTGTGTGATTGTTATTTCATTTTGGCGCGTTAGATTGCTGCAGCGTGATATGGTGTTTGATTTTCCATTAAGTTGAAGTGGAAACCAGCCTTATATTTTCTTTGATTATAACTGCAAGGCCTATGTTCTGGTTGCACTGAGTGTAATGCCTCTCCTTTGCATTGGTTTATTATGTAGCGCAAATATTTTTTGCTAACCGGTGGCCAAGTGAAGCAGAAAAATGATTTATCTGTTGGTTTTTTCATTAATCCTCCGAATCAACTGTGCCGAATTAAGTATACAATGGCCAAATTCTAACAGAGATTAATGGTTCAGAAAATCATCCTCGACAACTGTGGAGTGGTTGGTAGTGGAAGGAAAACCTTTCCCCGGAGATGACTGGGCTGTGGTTCTGTTACAATAGAAGAATATAATAAGTGGATTTTGCCAAGTCTTAGGGTCATGGGTTGGTTTCCATTGTCAAGAAAAAGTGTTAACCACATGCCTGAATCTTCATGATGCATCTCTATATTTGCTAATACTAATAAGATAAATGGGAGACTGATGTGGTGACCTAACATAAACTACAGACCTTCCCTGGTTGTAGGATGTTGGAAGAGAAATGGGTAGATGGAAACGGTTGGGTTGAAGAAAAGGGCGACGAAGGATTTTACTAATACTTGGTAATGGTAGGAGAGAAAAATGAGAGAAAAGGTGAGCAGGTTCATTCTCCTATAAATAAATAATTCCTAATCGGGAGGATTAGGAATGATTAAATTAATCATTTTTTCTCCTCATAAATGAAGGGTAAAACCATTTAACATCAGATAGAGTTTTCAGTTCTTTATTTCCGTTTTTCAACTATACCAAGCCAAGGAATAAAAAGACAATATTATATTCATTTATTCAAAAACTTTAGCATGCATGGGGAATTATTTTTGTTCTTTTGCTTTCTTTGTTACCTTGTTCATGGTTAATAAATGTAAAAAAAGAAAAAAGATTCTATAACTGCAAGTTAACGGCTAAAGCAAGGATCATGAATTTCCCTTATGATGTTCTTAAATGCTGTCCAGAAAAGGCAAAACCAAATGAAAGGGTATAGACTGGAGACCAACTAAGAAGGTTTAGTCAAGGAGGTTCGAACATTCACTTTGAAATATATGAATGGCAAAGACATTTGTTGTTGCAATGTTTTCCTCATTTAATTAATTACCCAAGGTTCCCCATGATTGGTTTAAATCAAAATCTCTTATTTACCCAAATCAAGCTCCATGTTATTTTTCCTTGGATTTTTTTTCCCTATTTTGGGTTCTTATAATGTTTTACAAGGGTGAAATGCTTTAGTGCCAGAGGGTTTTCCAATTACCAAAGAGGAAAAATATTGCTGGAAATAATTATGTCCAAACAAAAAAGAAAAAGAAATAAAAAGGAAACTAAATCATATAAATCAAAATCAGTTAATTCTAATTGATGCTTAATCACAATATATATTTTCCATAAACAGACCATTGACTTTCAAGTTTCCCTCCAAAACCCTTTGGCAGTTTTTTTTTTTTCCTTTAAAAGAACTTTTCTGGTTACAATGTAAGTACCAACATTGTTCAGATTCTTCTCCTCTCCTCCATTCAACTCCATTTTAGCCCTTCTTTTCCCCTTCTCTTTTCTTCATTTTTTTGCAGGCTTGTTGACATTCTTGATGATGCCACTCCTTCATTGCCGTTACTGTCTGTTCATTGCTCTCTTACTGAGTTTTCAACAAGGATCAGCAGAGGGAAGATGCCAAAAATTGTTAGTTGATCAGTCAGGGCATGGCAACTTTTCCACCATTCAATCAGCTATAAACCACGTTCCACACAATAACAGAAACTGGTTTTGTATCCATATCAAAGCCGGCACATACAGGTAAAATGTTTGTGGAAAAATAACTTTCAAGGATTTCATTTCTACAAAGCCGATCGATATATACTTTTGCATGTATGTCAATGACAGAAATACTGTATACCTATATAGGGAGAAGGTGAAGATTCCCTATGATAAGCCATTTATAATTCTTAAAGGAGCTGGAAAGAGAGCAACTTCCATTGTTTGGGATGATCATCAATCACTTCTACAAAGCCCTACTTTCTCATCTTTAGCTGATAATATTGTTGTCAAATCCATGAGCTTTGTGGTAAGAAGTCACTTCTCTACTATTTGATGATTCCTGAAAGTTTTTACATTCATTGTCATGTATAAATATACCATCAAAGGTCAATCTTCTGAAGTTTTTCCTTGTAACGATATGAACGAACAGAATTCATACAACAGTCCGAATAGCAACAATCCTAGGGTACCGGCGGTTGCTGCAATGGTTGCCGGTGACAAGTCTTTCTTCTATAAATGCGGCTTCTTTAGTTTGCAAGATACTTTGTGGGATGATCAAGGCCGGCATTACTTCAAGCGTTGCACCATTGAAGGTGCTGTTGATTTCATCTTTGGTAGTGGCCAATCTATCTATGAGGTAATTTAAACTTAATTAATTTGGTGATCATATAATAATGATGATATATAAAGGGACATGAGATTGTTCTTAAATTTGTTTATCATTACTATCTGTAGGATTCTGCTATACATTTTCTTGGAGGAGAGTTAGAGCCAGGTCTTCCAGGTTTTATCACAGCACAAGGAAGAACAAACCCAAATGATGCAAACGGTTTTGTTTTCAAGAACTGCAATGTGCTTGGCAGTGGTACAACTTTCCTGGGGAGGCCATGGAGAGGTTATTCCAGGGTGCTATTCTATAACTGCAAATTTTCGGACATTATACAGCCTGGTGGTTGGGACGCTTGGTCTTTTACCGGCTATGAGTAAGTTTCTTTTAGGTATGCTCAATCAGTAAACTCATATAATTGATTGATTTTAATGGGTTTTGCTTAGGAACCAATTAACTTTTGTGGAGTATGGTAACCATGGACCTGGATCTGACACTTCCAAGCGGGTGAGCTGGGAAAAGAAGTTGAGCGTTGAAGCTGTGGAGCAGTTGACAAGCATGACATTCATTGACTCTGAGGGGTGGCTACAGAGTCAGCCTGTTTAGTTATGATCGGTTCACCTGTTGCTCGGAAATTTCAATTCTAGTTTTCTCATGACAACTGTTGTTTTCCTTTGTCATATGAAGCTCTATAGACTATAGTTTCTTCAAATTTTGCACTTTAATATAGCCAAAAGCTGGATTCTTTTATCTTCAATTGAAATGCCATAATATTAGGAGGGCACATAATCATGAGCAACACCATAAATCCACATACATTGTTCAGCCAAGTGTTGGCCAATTGAAGCTTTTCTCTTCAAACTGTCACAACATGCTGTTGACTAAGAGTACTTCCAGGCCAATGTTCCAGCTCTCTATTAATTCAAAACTTTCGTCAGTGTACATGAAAGCAATTTATAATTCTTTCTTCTATGCAAAAGGTTAGATTATTATTGTTTCTTTATTCTTGTGGTTGAAATAAATGAACAAAAAATAGAAGCTTCTTTGATTCAGATGAGGAGAAAAATTGAAACTTTTAAGTTTCTTCAAGTCTCCAGAACTCCTGATATTCTGCATCGTTCTCAATGAGGCATCTCTTGGGCATGCATAGCAAGCCAGTCCGGTACCCCACCAGTAGCCAGCTGCCTGACTACTTTGCTTCCAATTGTCCAAAAATTTTAATAGAACCATATAGCTAAGAAATGGCAACACTGGGACCAGCACACTACTCACAACACATCTGATTAAACTCATTACTTCATGAGCCTTGAGGTATTCTAAACCTGTTACTCCCAGAAAGTGAAGCGGCCAGTATTTTAGAATTTCTGACGTTGACAATTTATTTAATATTATGTGTCGGAACACTGAGATAAAATTTGGTGTTTTTGAAGTCATCCAGAAGAGGGTTGTATCCATCTTTTGTTCTTGTCTTGGAAGGCAAGCCAAACTCTTCCATGAATGAAGATGTGTCGAGCTACAAAGATAGCAAAGAGGAGACATGTGACTGACAGTAAATTTGTTAAAAAGTAAAAATTTTCTGAAATGCAAGGACTAAGATCTTGGAAATTTTAGAAATGCAACAATTTTAGGGATTTCCCTGGAAATGTTAGAAATGCAAGGACAAATATCCTCTTCAGGAATAGGAAGAGGTAGATCTAACCAACAACAGTGCTGTTAACAATTTTATTATCTGTAGAGTTATTACACTGCATGTTCATCAAAGTAGTTAGACTAACACATTGCTATCAATAATTTTTTTCTCTGGTGCAAATTGGAATTGTGAGAATACATTTTTCGCCACCTCTAACGTAGATATAGTGAAGGTTAGGACTACCAAGTCTGACCAACTAATCTTGCTATGTTTGTAATTGTTTCTGCAAAGTGCAGGTTGATCACTAAATGCCTGATTCTGTTTTAGAAATATACCCTTCCGTGGTTTTGAAATTTGACAGTAAGCCAGCCAGTCAGCCACTATTAATAGTTTTCCTCCTAAATTACTCTCTTTTTTATTAGAAACAGAAATCCCACATCATAACAGAAGTGAACTTACAGTGATAGTGCGCCTCCTCTTCCCCTGAGTGGATGATTTATCCTTTTGCAGTTTCAGCCATCCAGAACAGTAATGATCAATGCGTTCCAAAAGCCAAAAGTCAGTAGGAAAGAAGATATCGGCCTCACCCTGTGCAAGAAAGAATCAAGGAAATAATCATGAGTATCTAGATAGGTTTGAAACCTAATAATTAAAGAGAACAAAACTATACTGCAAGATTTATCAACTTGTATTATTGTATTATGTGCATCATGGTGCTACACATTCATAGACTAAAGATGAATGTAAGCTTGGCCTTCATATCTCAGGTCTCCTAGAATTTGTCACTTCAAAAATGGGAAAGGTTGTTGACACTTAGTTCAAGTTGAAGGGCTTTACAAAGAATTGATCCACAAAATATCAGATTCAGCATCTTTGGAGATATATTTATTAAATGATTTCCATAGTCCATTAATAACAGTGATGAAATTCTCTGTTTTCTGCCTATTTTTCTGGTCACTTTTTCATAGCTGTAGCTCTTTATCCCGCTAGAAAAAACAACCACTATTCGAAGACAGTACTTATGATGTCATTTACATAATCTCATCTAAACAAAAGATTGCCAAAAGTCAAAAGGAAACAAAAATAAAGCACCTTTGCATCCAGATAATTGCTGTAATCTGAGCTGCAGCCATCTTTCTGCAGAACAAAATGTGAATGAGGTTAGACTTAATAGCCAAAATGGAGTGAAATGTCAATCTTCATTGACAAGCTTTTTGTCTGCTTTTCCCTGGAAACTAAAAAATTGACTTTGGTGACCATAAAAATATCTAACTAGGCTTCTAATCGTTCTCTCTCTGTTCAAAATCCCTGATATTTGAGCAATTGCGTGATGGATCTCAGGCATGTCTAGACCAAAAAATTTAGCATTAGATGAGTTATGGCCGTTTGCCAATTATACGGGCTTTACTGAACAACAATAATTACCCACAGTAAACTTTACATACTCGTTGACCAACTTATACCCTTAAGAAATGTTACAGCTTAACTACAATCAGCAGCCGAAGAAGCAACGATGAGAGGAAAATTCAAATTTAACAAACTTAGGTCAACTTCTTCTTATTGCAATTTTCTCCATATCAAATCAATTAATCAATGCAGTTTTGAAGAGACATGGAAGTTGTTGAATTTAGAATTTGTTGTAATTAAAAAATTAGGAACTCCGTACCAGACAAATGTCTATTTTTGTTCATTCGCCATGTAAATTAAATAAACAAATTTAGTTAGCTATAGAAGCATAAAGTCATCTTCATTGATGAAGAGTTTCCTGTCCTAGGACAGCTTTAGGCACAAGGGCATGGAAATCAATCTTAAAATTAAGTTCTGGATACTATGGATTCAAATAATATCTCAATCTTACAGCAGAATATACTCTAGCCCCACAACCACCACTTCTGCCTGTTTTAAGACCTATGGATGTTACTCTTCAACGTGTCTTTTAGGCATTAGGGTATGCAGGAGGCTATCTGCCATATTCAGCACTAATTAGACACCCCTCTGTGGGATGGTGAGATTACCAGAGTATCAGATTTTGTCAAGCACTTACAAATCTTCATTTATTTTCTTACCAACCAGGGTATTACACAGTTTCAAATACCTAAGCACAACTTTCAATGATGGAACTCCTGGCCAATAAAAGAGGTTAGCTTGATGTAGATCTTAACACCCCTGTTTTATCTACTATAAACAAAAAGAGGACAGTTAGTTCTAGACTAGACAAGAATCCTAGTTGAAGGCATATTTATGAGCACAGAGAAATTTTGAAAATTTATGTGCAACATGGACACATGAAGAGGCAAAAAGTATTTGCAGCAAATTCACATAAACTTATAGTAGAGCAGCAATGTTCATCTTATATGAGCATTGAGTACTATGGAACAAAGAATAAAGATAATGAGAAACATAAGTCAATAGTCTAAATGATAAAAAAACTACCTTGGTTGAAACCAGTGGAGCTCTTTCACCAGGTATCTTCACATCAGGTAGGTAACTGAAGTCTGAAGCAATCAATGACATTTTTGGTAATGCTGCATGTAAAACCTCTAGCAGTTTCTGCATATGTCAAAAGGGATATTGTCGCAAAAGAGTAGTTTGAACTTTGAGCAACAGAAATCACTTCTTTCAACGGTTTACTTACCATGCAACCAGTTGGAAGCCAACATCTTCGAGGTTTTGGAAACAATTTAGACCATGCTTTTGAAACAGCACTGCTTTGATTGGTATTGCTTTTATCTAGTTCCAGAATTTCAAGACAACATTTAATTAATGAGTCTTGTAAAGGTTTATATAGTTCTGATAGTCCTTCCCTACAAAAGGAACCAGGGTCAGCAGAGATCATTCAATTCATCCATCTCTTACAACATAATGAAAAGAAATTAATTCTTTGCAATGACCAGCTAGCACAATTACATTATGTAAAAGCTCAAGAAATAATTTTAACTAATTAGTGAACAGTATTTATACATTAATGGTTACTGGAAATTGGAATGACTAGCTTTGTTAAAAGATATGTTCCTTGATCATAGAACTTAATCTAAGTAGGCCAAGAGGAAGTTCTTTGAGGAAGGTAGGATGTTCAACAGAAGAAACTCCAACTTTTGAATTTGGACAATATACATTTATGTGTGAATAAACTGTTGGTGTATTTCAAAATTAAAAATTATATTATATAATGAAAAGTTATTTTAGTACAAAAGTTATGTCACATAAAGTAACATAGTGTAACTATTGAATTGTAGGTGAGTTTTACATGTGAATGATTATGTCTCTTCGTAAAATGACATATTGGAGAAACACCTCTGAATCCAAAGTTTATGAGACAAATTGAAAAACCACAAAAACTCAAAAGTTTGAATATGAAAAGTTATCGTTTCA